CACGCCATTTTTTCTTTACTTTGGCCAAGAGAAAATAATAACTGGTTATAGTTTTATCTTTTTATGACTTCTTCACAACTTCTTTCATTTAAAGATTGCATCTTTTAAGACAACCTGCCACTGTTTTGTCATAATTTTCCATTAATTTTGAATTTTAATTATTTCATCAGAACGTTTTAGTGTGGCCTTTCCTCTGTACATAATAATGAACTACGAATAGGGTTGATAAAAAATGTCGATAAATATACTTATTTCATGATGAATTTTGTTCAAAGAAATGGTTTTGAAAATAACATTTAATATGTTATCATATAATGGATATTGTTCGACTGAGAAAAACATGTTTTTGTTGTGATAAAATAAACAATAACATTTTAACATTTTAAAATTAAATGGGTCTTTTGTTATGTTTATTTTTTATTTTCAAAATATATTATAAAAAAATATTGTAAATGTTTAAAAGAAAAGTACTTGAATCGTAACTGAAACTTTAAATACAATCGATCAAATATTGGAAAAAAACAAGTAAGCAAAGGCTACAGTCGAGCGGGGCCGACCGTTCAATACCCTACAACACTATAATAAACCATACAGTTTATTAGGCGAAATACTCGACAGAATTCCACAAGATATTGTGAAAAATAATAAAAAAAAAACCATCAGGTTTTGTTCTCCAATATTCGTATATTAGTAACTTAAACTAATTTGCTCATTTCCAATTTAATGGTAGATGTTGCACTTAAATGGTCTTCCTAGATCTGGAACCAATATCTCCCAAAGACCTATGATCTCTCAGAAGTGACAAAAGATTAACATTCATTATTAGTTTTTGACTGAAACGCATCTATATGACATACAGACATTTGACTATATTATTCAACGAAATCAGCGTTAACGAAATAGTCAGAAGTGCGTCTTTCCTGTATTTGTGAATTCTCCAAAAAGTCACTGGAATGGACATTTTCGTATTTTGTCTACAAAAGTTGGCAAACTATTTCACACATTGAATATTTTTGGATGGCCTTCGGAAACTGCTTGGCTTTTGCAATGTGCGGTAACCCCCATTCAAATGTGCGTGAGGATCGGGCGACAATTACGACCTGCAGACAATTTTGCAGTATTTTGGTCCATTTCAACCCCTAAATATATGGCGATCATCTCCAAAAAGAGTAGGCTTCTATTCTGACCCTCATCTTATCTCCATACAAAATTTCGTTAGGATCGGGCCATAAATGCGATCTGTATATTATATCCTGATATCCTAACTACTTAGTTTAGTTAGCTGTAGAAATATTACCAAATGTTTAATTCAAAATGAAAATATGACAAAAATATGACAAAATTGAAAAATTATGAGAAAATTTTACAAAATCAATATTTTCATCTTTAGAGAGATATTTTTATGCGATTTTTTAGACGTTTTTTCTTTCCTGACAAGAGGCCATTCTGAATTAATGAGAACTGTCGAAATCAGTTCAGCCGTTCTCGACATATAAGAGATCTTTCAAGCATATCTTCTTTGATAAACATATATATCGCACATATTTTGTTATATATCCGATTTGTTGAATGTTAACATCAATGTAAAGATCAGAAGTAACCTTGTCATTGCTTTGTGATTTCGCCGGGATTTAAAATATTAGCGGTTTAATGAAAAATTCTGAATTTTTTTCAACACGAAAGATATGGTCTATTTTACCCGCTAAATATTACCCGATGACCACCAAAATTTGTAGGCTTCTTCCCCGCCCTAAACTCTAGCTACAAGCGAAGTTCCGCGTCGATTGGTCTATAATTGCGACCTGTATAGCTACTGCAAAATCCGACATTTTTTCAGTTTTTGGTCCATTTCGACCCCTAAATATTATGCGATCATCTCCAAAAGAAATAGTGTTCTATTCTGACCCTAGCCCCACCTGCATTCTAAATTTCGTGAAGATCGGGCCATAATTGCGACCTGTAGAGTGATTACAAATTAACATGGACAGACGGACGGACGGACATACATAGCTAGATCGACTCAACTCGGCGAGATAGGAAGATCCATATATACTTTCCTATGTGGGAAATCAATATTTCGAGGTGTTACATAATTTTTGGCCCAATCAAACTTATAAGGAGGAGGAGGATATATATAGCGAAATATGTACAATGTGTGTATACAAAGTAAGGGGATGTTAGCAAGAATGCTTATATCTCAAAAATGGCTGGACCGATTTCGACAAATTTTGTCAATTCAGAATGTCCTCTTGTCATAAAAGAATTCAATCTAAAAAATCGCATAAAAAGATGCCTATAATGATGTTAATATAGATTTTTTTTGTATTTTGTGACATTTTGTTATTTTTTCATTTATTTTAGCGCATGCGATTTTTTTCAAGTTGACTTAGTATTGAAATGTATATTTTGTAATATTTTTTCACCTTACAACACAGGTTGGGGTTATTATATGCAGTCTGCAATTATCGTCCGATCCTCACGGAAAAGGATAGGGTTAGACACAGAAGGGCTAGGCCTATTGTTTTCAAAGATGTCCGCAATATATTTAGGGGTTGAAATGGACCAAAAACGGAAAGAACATTCCTGATTACACAATAGAAGCATTCGATCTTTTGTGCTAGGTCAATTGAGAAAAAATGCCTAAAATTTTGTAAAAGTCCGTTCAGATTCGAATATAGCTCTTATACATATCTTAATCCAATTTCAGGTTTATTATGCATCAAATGGCTAGTATCAGCCCAAATGAAATTAATCTTGGCAAATCCGACTTAATTCATCTTATAAACAAGTACTCTTAATTTGGAGAAAATCGTTTCAAATATAGCTGTAGCTCCAATATATATGTTTCATCCGATTTGGTGTTAAAGTCCCTCACATGCGTAAGATGCACTTCACAACAAGGATATTTCATATCGCACATCAGATACAGCTCGAAAATACATCTGCCAAATTTTATCGAGATCGTTCATTGTTCACCAAATTTAATAGATTTTTTCATATTCAACCGAATTTTACCATTTGGTAAAACTCCAAACCTGATATATAGTAATATTAATATCAAACTTAGATTGAGTTCGGATATAGGCAATATTGGTCGAGTTTTTCAGGTACCTTGCACAAAAATGTCAACATTTCCAAAGAGAACGAAAAAAGGAAATAATCATTGAAGTTTGTTCCAACTTTTTCCGTCCTCATATTTTTATCAGTGCAAGGTCAAGTACTTCTTCTTGTACCACTCATAAATTGCGAAATTAGCATCCGATTCTCTCCAAATTGTACACATCAGAATATTTCTACTAACACATGTACCGTACATCTAGTACCTCCCCACAATAAGGTAAACATTTTCACTAATTAAGCCTTATATGCACATATCTCTTGATAGATTGCAGATACAGTCTCCAAATTTGGAATGCATAACGGAATTTGGAACAAAAATTAATTTGCCAAATTATATTGAAATCGGTTCATATTTTGGTATAGCTACCATATATATATATATTCGACAGATTTCGTTTATTCGATAGACCAAACACGATACATATGTTCGATTTCAATGAAATTTGGCATGAGTGACTAAATTTTGTACACAAATAAGTTTGTCAAATTATATTCAAATCGTTTCAGATTTGGATATAGCTCCTACATATATTTTCGACCAATTTTACATATTTGATGCACCCAATGCGATTCATATGTCCGATTCCAATAAAATTCGGACAGAGTGACGATATTTGGTACCAAAAAATTGATAAAATATATTGACATCAGTTGAGGTTTGGGTATGGCTTCTATATGTATATTTCGGTCGATTGCAGGTATATTATGCACAAAGCACGATATGTATGTTCGATTACAATGGAATTCAGAATGTTTGGCGGAATTTGGTTGCAATAATAAACTTGACAAATTAATTAGAAATTGGTTAAGATTTGGATATAGCTCCCATATATAATATCGGTCAATTTCACATATTTGACTCACAAAACACGGTATGTACTTCCAATTTCAATGAAATATGGAAGGTGTGACGAATTTGGTCTAAAAGTAAATTATATTGAAATCGGTTCAGATTGGGATATTTTTTTTATTAAGAAGCATTGACCCACAACACCTCTGCAATGGTTTTAAAGTAACAGTAAAATACCACACAACAATTTAATTGAGGATACGATCATTACGGGGAAGTATGTTCCTACCTCGAATTCACTAATTACAACAGAAATGGCACTTAACTTCAAAAGATTGCAGTTTCCTTGAAATTAATGTATCCGAATTATAAACCCTTCATGTATGCGGACTAAATTTGGTATGATTCTGCTTTTCTCATGGTCAGCTGTTCACGCGTTGATAGACCAACTATTTGTTTGTTTACGCAAAGTATTACAATAATTAGGTTATTATTATTTTTTTTTGAATTTGTCTTATTTTTCTTCTTAAACCAACAAGTATTCATATAGATTTTGTATGCATATAAAATCAAAAGGGTAGCAAAGCGAACCGGGTTTAGCTATTTTTTCAATAAAATTTGAAATCAAATGTTCTTTTAAAAAATTGAACATCCCAAAAATTTTATCAGTATTTTACGGAGTGTGAAAATGGAATGCTACCATATCTGGTACCGCACACATATTTCAACATTTTCCAAATACTATCAATTCCCATATAAAAGTGGTCGATATTGTCAAATCTGGAACCATATTGACAATATTGGCTCACTTGTTCGGAACGTTCCCCATTACAGATTCACGGTTTAGATTATAATAACGTCAAAATATATTTTTAAATAAATGGACATTTTCTGAAGGATTCATCTGTTGTGATTTGCAACGACAACACTGTTCGATGTATCTACCAAATAATTCTTTTTTATCTTCCATTGTGAAAATTGAAGCTTTATTTGGTGTAAACATTTAACACAGGAATAGTAGTGACATTATTACCAAACTTCGGACTTTGAAGGATTTAATTCAAGTTCTAAGAAGAATAAAACGTCTATCTTTAATAATATACTCATATATTTCTGTGCTGATCTAAATTATTTCTAATCGACTATATCTGCTTGGGAAAATCACAAGAATTGATTGCCGGGTTAAAGACCAAGCCTTTGGCACAAGGCGTTACAATTTCACATTCACACTGGCATATGATAAAGTTGCTCGGTGAAGAGTCATCGGCAAATATCGTACCGTCTCGCTGGTGCAAACATTTTCCAGAACTTTCGCAAGCATGTCCAGATGGACCTGCTGATGGTCCAGTCGGTGGTAAATTCTCCCAAGGACATTTTACATTTTCAGGATAGTCACATTGCAAGGTATTCGTGTTGTATAACAAGTTATTGGGGCAAGTGAAGATGTATGCACACTGAGATAAGCATACATAATATTGAGAGCACGTACCGTTTACATATCCATTGTCGTTATCCGGTTTATTGTAACAAATAGTTGAATTATTTGGACAATACTGGGGAGTTGGAGGGGTGGCGGGAGTTCCAGGTGTATTAGCTGTTGGAGTGCCCGGTGTAGCAGGTGTATCGGCTGTTGGTGTTCCTGGTGTACCTGGAGTTCCTGGTGTATCTCCTGTAGGGGTACCTGGCGTTCCAGGTGTACCCGCAGTTGGTGTTCCAGGAGTACCTGGTGTATCGGCAGTTGGTGTTCCGGGTGTTCCAGGTGTGCCTGGTGTATCACCGGTGGGTGTTCCCGGGGTGCCGGGAGTTCCTGGTGTTCCTGAGGTAGGAGTACCTGGAGTATATTCTGTAGGTGTACCAGGTGTTCCAGGTGTACCCGCAGTTGGTGTTCCAGCAGTCGGTGTTCCAGGGGTATCATCAGTAGGTGTACCTGGTGTTCCAGGTGTACCCGCAGTTGGAGTTCCAGGAGTACCTGGTGTATCGGCAGTTGGTGTTCCAGCAGTCGGTGTTCCAGGTGTATCACCGGTAGGCGTTCCCGGGGTGCCAGGAGTTCCTGGTGTTCCTGAGGTAGGAGTTCCAGGAGTACCTGGAGTATCTTCTGTGGGGGTACCTGGCGTTCCAGGTGTACCCGCAGTTGGTGTTCCGGGAGTGCCAGGGGTATCATCTGTAGGTGTACCTGGCGTTCCAGGTGTATCCGCAGTTGGAGTTCCAGGAGTACCTGGTGTATCGGCTGTTGGTGTTCCAGGGGTACCGGGAGTTCCAGGTGTATCACCAGTAGGCGTTCCCGGGGTGCCGGGAGTACCTGGTGTTCCTGAGGTAGGAGTACCAGGAGTTCCTGGAGTATCTTCTGTAGGTGTACCTGGTGTTCCAGGTGTACCCGCGGTTGGTGTTCCAGCAGTCGGTGTTCCTGGTGTATCACCGGTAGGCGTTCCCGGGGTGCCAGGAGTTCCTGGTGTATTAGCTGTTGGAGTGCCCGGTGTAGCGGGTGTGTCGGCTGTTGGTGTTCCTGGTGTACCTGGAGTTCCTGGTGTATCTTCTGTAGGTGTACCTGGCGTTCCAGGTGTACCCACAGATGGTGTTCCAGGAGTTCCAGGTGTGCCAGCTGTCGGTGTTCCGGGAGTTCCAGGTGTGCCTTGTGTTGCACTGGTTGGCTTACACGGGATGCCTGGAGTTCCTGGTGTGCCTGAGGTAGGAGTTCCGGGGGTTCCTGGAGTATCTTCTGTAGGTGTATCTGGTGTTCCAGCTGTGGGTGTTCCGGGAGTGCCAGGGGTATCTTCTGTAGGTGTAGCTGGTGTTCCAGGGGTACCCACAGATGGTGTTCCAGGAGTTCCAGGTGTATCACCAGTAGGCGTTCCCGAGGTGCCGGGAGTACCTGGTGTTCCTGAGGTAGGAGTACCAGGAGTTCCTGGAGTATCTTCTGTAGGTGTATCTGGTGTTCCAGCTGTCGGTGTTCCGGGAGTGCCAGGGGTATCTTCTGTAGGTGTAGCTGGTGTTCCAGGGGTACCCACAGATGGTGTTCCAGGAGTTCCAGGTGTACCAGCTGTCGGTGTTCCGGGAGTTCCAGGTGTGCCTGGTGTGTCAGCAGTCGGTGTTCCGGGAGTTCCAGGTGTGCCTGGTGTTGCACTGGTTGGCTTACACGGGATGCCTGGAGTTCCTGGTGTGCCTGAGGTGGGAGTTCCGGTGGTTGCTGGTGTATCAGGGGTATCTCCGGTAGGGGTACCAGGAGTGCCAGGTGTGCCAGTATTCGGTGTTGCGGGAGTGCCAGGGGTATCTTCTGTGGGTGTAGCTGGTGTTTCAGGGGTACCCACAGTTGGTGTTCCAGGAGTTCCAGGTGTGCCAGCAGTCGGTGTTCCGGGAGTTCCAGGTGTGTCAGCAGTCGGTGTTCCGGGAGTTCCAGGTGTGCCTGGTGTTGCACTGGTTGGCGTACACGGGATGCCTGGAGTTCCTGGTGTGCCTGAGGTAGGAGTTCCGGGGGTTGCTGGTGTATCAGGGGTATCTCCGGTAGGGGTACCAGGAGTGCCAGGTGTGCCAGCAGTCGGTGTTCCGGGAGTGCCAGGGGTATCTTCTGTGGGTGTAGCTGGTGTTTCAGGGGTACCCACAGTTGGTGTTCCAGGAGTTCCAGGTGTGCCAGCAGTCGGTGTTCCGGGAGTTCCAGGTGTGTCAGCAGTCGGTGTTCCGGGAGTTCCAGGTGTGCCTGGTGTTGCACTGGTTGGCGTACACGGTATGCCTGGAGTTCCTGGTGTGCCTGAGGTAGGAGTTCCGGGGGTTGCTGGTGTATCAGGGGTATCTCCGGTAGGGGTACCAGGAGTGCCAGCAGTCGGTGTTCCGGGAGTGCCAGGGGTATCTTCTGTGGGTGTAGCTGGTGTTTCAGGGGTACCCACAGTTGGTGTTCCAGGAGTTCCAGGTGTGCCAGCAGTCGGTGTTCCGGGAGTTCCAGGTGTGCCTGGTGTTGCACTGGTTGGCGTACACGGGATGCCTGGAGTTCCTGGTGTGCCTGAGGTAGGAGTTCCGGGGGTAGCTGGTGTATCAGGGGTATCTCCGGTAGGGGTACCAGGAGTGCCAGGTGTGCCAGCAGTCGGTGTTGCGGGAGTGCCAGGGGTATCTTCTGTGGGTGTAGCTGGTGTTTCAGGGGTACCCACAGTTGGTGTTCCAGGAGTTCCAGGTGTGCCAGCAGTCGGTGTTCCGGGAGTTCCAGGTGTGTCAGCAGTCGGTGTTCCGGGAGTTCCAGGTGTGCCTGGTGTTGCACTGGTTGGCGTACACGGGATGCCTGGAGTTCCTGGTGTGCCTGAGGTAGGAGTTCCGGGGGTAGCTGGTGTATCAGGGGTATCTCCGGTAGGGGTACCAGGAGTGCCAGCAGTCGGTGTTCCAGGAGTGCCAGGGGTATCTTCTGTAGGTGTAGCTGGTGTTTCAGGGGTACCCGCAGTTGGTGTTCCAGGAGTTCCAGGTGTGCCTGGTGTGTCAGCAGTCGGTGTTCCGGGAGTTCCTGGTGTGCCAGCAGTCGGAGTTCCGGGAGTTCCCGGGGTGCCTGGGTTTGTTGGAGTTGCAGGCGTTTCTGAAGGTGTGCCTGGCGTACCTGCAGTAGGTGTTGCTGGTGTACCGGGACCATCTTCGGTGGGAGTACCTGGTGTTCCAGCAGTTGGTGTTCCTGGTGGACATGGAGTACCGGGAGTAATAGGTTCTGTTTCTGGACAAGAACATCCACACACAGAACTACAGTACATGCAATCGCTTTCATTAAATAGAGGTGATCTTAAGAGTAGAGGATCACAGGCGGCATATTCCCTTTTTTGGCACACCGAGGCCAAGCGATTGAAGTGGTACCCGGCAGGACATTTATATATTGATTTCGTTTTACCATGTATACATAAAATGTACCGTGAGCAATCAGCTGGATGCACTAACTTTGTTCCACTCGGTTGTCCTTTGCATACGTCTAGGGTCCAGACACAGTGCAGTGTGGCACCCAGCAATAAATAAAGAAATATGACTGACGTACAAGGAAGTAAGTCAATTAAGATGTTGGGCAATGTTAAATTCCGTACTCTATCTACTCACCATTGGTCATATTTTATTTTTGAAAATGTTGCCTTTCTTTTGTTCTCAATTCACCTTCGGCAAATTTACGAATGACTTTTTTAGAAATGACTACTAACGACACTGCCTTGGGTTTTCCGGCCTGTTCCTTTTATATCGCGTAATTGCGGATGGTATCGATTCGATAAAAGTGATGATGTTATACCGACCATCAAGACATGGTTCTTATCTCGATGATAGATATCTTTTTTCATAAAAAGCTTGTTAGTTGCAAATGTTAAATGGCGAATTTCTTGTCGATGGTAATTGCTGCTGTAAACATTTTATTTTTTATTTTAAAATGTCTGGCAAACATTTTTTTCTGGGTACTTTCGTTACCCGTTTTTCAGCTTTTTTTGTGGTTCCCAGTCTGTATATTAATAGATTGTTTTGAATACTGGGAAACATTTTCTTGAAATCAAGCTACTACTACTTTCTTGTTTCAGCAAATCTTAGATATGCTTTAAACATTTCCTTTCATAGAACTTGTTCACACTAAAAAAAACAATATTTGTCAAGACGGATAGTTACTAAAGAAATGTATACCATGAAGGTTATCTTCTAATTTTTAAAATATTGAATTATCGCACGATTCAGTTGAAAAAATACATTAACCTCATTTATGATATCAATGCTTAACGTCTCAGGCAAATATTTCGATTGAATGGTAACATAAAAACCGCTACGATTTCATAGGTGAAAATTACAGCATTTCTGATAGGAAAAATTTCGATAAGACCTCTACAGTACTAATAATTTCTTTAAATTACCAACATCCAAAATCGTTATAATATGCCGATGCATAATCCAATATTTACAATATTTTATACCCTTCACCGTACTATATATCCTCCATAGCTGCCATTAACGTTGTCATTTCGTTTGTAACAGGGTATATCTTCTTGATCAGTGTAACTTTCTAATTCGATTTCGCATGAATTGATATGGAAGTCTAAAATTTTGAACACATGTGTATTTTGTCAGTAATCAGGATATATACGTTATTGAGTCACATCGCTCTCCGTTTTCGTATAGTCCCCATCCAACGGTTACTCCCGATATTCGGTCTCTGGATCATTTTAGTCACATTTTTCCCGAAGTTATTTCAAATATGATTTTTAGAGTTTTCAATGGATTCTACATTCGGTGGTAGAACATGACCTTTATAGGTCCAAGTTTTCCGATTTATCCCCTATATTACGATTATTCCAGATATTCAGAATTTTGACAATTAATACCACATTTTCTAACCAATTTATCTCAAATTCAGTATTTATGGTTCTTAATATTTACTGCCTCAGGTAGAGAAACATTGTGTATATAGGTCCACGTTCTCCTTCAGCGCCATATAATAATACATAAAGGAATTCAATTTTAACCAACTTTTACAAATTTTAAATATCAGATTTTCTCAATATATACAAAACACGCATAGCTGTGTACTCTGGTGTCATTTAGGGTCCACTACTTTTTGTACTGATGATTCTAAGTGATCTTTAATGTTAAAAAGATTTATATATATATATATATATATATATATATATATATATATATATATATATATAATACATAAAGGAATTCAATTTTATATATATATATATATATATATATATATATATATATATATATATATATATATATATATATATATATATATATGTTCGGACAGAGAGATGGAATTGATTAGAAATCGGTTGATGTTTGACTATAGCTCCCATACATGTATTCCGGCCGATTTCACATATTTGATGCACCAAAGTAGCGGCGTGCCTTCAATTTAAATGTGCGTGCCTCCAATTTACACCGCAACAGAAAGAAAATGGACTCAAAAGAGTTACTTCGCTTAGCCGAATGAGGTGAACTGCCGAATTTGGTTTTCTCCGATAAGAAAAAATTCGTTCTTCAGTAGTTTGTAAACAAACCAATTGACCGTGTTTACTTGCCGAATAGGTCAGCTGAAAATGTGCACCTTCGGTTGCAACCAGAATTCAATCGCCAGCCATGATGATGGTGTGGCCCGCAATAACAGCCGATGGTCGCTTGGGCACGCAAACATTTTGGCCGCAGACCTTGGACATTCCAACAATCATCGCACTCAGAAGAATCATTACAAAATGAGGTTCCTCGCTTTTTCCAGCGCACAATGGCCACCAAAATCTCCGGATACCAATCCGTTGGACTATTGTGTCTGGAGTTTGTTGGAAAGCAAGGATGACACTAAAAAAAAACGAAAGTGTCGATCACTTCAAGCAAGCGCTTCACCGGGAATGGACCAAAATACCGCAGAACAATATTTGGGCAGCGTGTGACAGTTTCGTTGGCCAATTCGAACAAATCTAAACTTATTCTAAAATTTGATGCTATTTCCGACATTGATGTGACTTTGTTGCACTTTTTTATATCACCCTGTATTTCAGTTCTTAAGTGCCTGTTTTAAGGCATCTTTATTTATCTATCATTAATATTTTGATTGGGAAAATTCGCTGCTATTTTTGCACATTTGATTCAACAATAATTCGGTAAAGAGGTACAGAATGGGTATTATAAAGGTCCTCGAAAAATAAATAAGGAGATATTTTCAAAATTTCAAATTCAAAATAGTTAAACTGATAGTCAGCTGATTGAAAACATAAATACATTATTGGGTCTGAAATGATTATTTCTGTGATTCTGATTTAACACATTTTATTATTTTTACAAAATATTGACTCTGTATATCGTATATATTAAATCAGAGGAATAAGTAGACATTACAATGTTCACCAATTTGGAAGAAGAATTAATTTGTCCATTAAAAAATTCTTGTCACTGTCATTTGAATGTAGTATTACAAATTCAATCTAAAACCAGTAAAGAAAGTCCTAAAGTCGGACTTGTATTGCCCATTTGGTGCAAAATTAATATGAAATCAGATAAAGATATATATGGGAGCTATATCCAAATCTGAACCGATCTCGATAAAATTTAGCAAAGATATTTCTGAGCTGTATTTGATATATTTCCCTGAATATCGTTGTTACGGAGTGCATATTAGGGCTGTGGGTAACAAATAAAACAAATCGGATGGACAATATATATGGGAGCTATAGCTATATCTGAACCGATCTTCACCAAATTTGGCATACCAGCTTCAAGACTCATGCATGTGCCAAATACCATCCCATTTGCGGAGGACAAAAATAACAAATCGAATGAACAATATATATGGGAGCTATAGCTATATCTGAACCCATTCCGATCAAATTTGGCATACTTTTTTCAAGCCTAATTTGGTTGTATGTGTGGGCTGATATTACACGTTTGGTGCACAATAAAAGGCAAATCGGACGAAGATATATATGGGAGCTATATCCAATTTTTTACCGATTATCTCCAATTTCAATAGAGTTCGTCCTTGGGCCAAACAAATGTTGTTTGGAAAATTTCATCTCAACCGGATAATAAATGCGACCTTCATTTTGTTCACAAGAATACATGGACAGACGGTCTGACATACATAAATCAACTCAGAAAGTGATTCTATGGAGATCCTCAAAAGTAACTATGGGTCTATCTCGTTTCCTTCTCCATGTTACAAACAAATGCACAAAGACATAATACCCTTACCACTATGTGGTGTAGGGTATAAAGATAAATCTAAAAAACTGTAATATTCACAATAAACATAATAAGTTATATTTATGTACTATAGTATGTTTTACGATGTATTTATAAAAATTTCCAACAGCACCTCTCTTATCAAGTGCTTAGAAAAATCAAAATACTGTACTAAAACCATTTTCACAGAAAATTCAAAACTATTTTCATTTTACAATTGTGTTGGTGAAAACACAAGGCATACCATGGGATCCTTTTTGCCTTGCCCTGGTGTACACTGACTAAGTTTAGGGTTTTTTGAAAACTTGAAATTTTTCCACCGAAGTGGTCGCAAGTTAATCCTTCTACAACTGAATGAGTAGGAAAAATCCCCTTAAAATGTTTCAATATACATTGTCGACCATAGCCCGGAAACGGATACTTAAGTCCTAATTTTAAGTCAGAATAGTCAAAGTTTTCACATGGTGGATGGTAAAAATAGTTCTGCCTGGCCGAATTTAATGACAATTCTTAAAAATTAACATATCAGATAATCAGAACTTGGCAACCATACACCTTTCCTTCAATCTCGCTGCGCTAGAGTTACTACAATAAATAAATGTATTTTCTTTTTATTATTCCGGTAAAGTAAATAAATATTTATCTTACTAAAATTTAATTCGTAATTATTACAGTAAAGCACATCACAAACAAAGGCTCAGAAATGCATGTCACCTATAATGTTTTTTAAAGTACCACGAACATTCTAATTCGGGATTGTAAACGAATCAGCTTTGATGAAATTAAAATATACGATCAGAGCTATGAGTTATAGATTTTAATAAGCAATGAAAGAAATTTCCTATGGCTAGAGAGGGTATATATCATTTAATACGGCCAAAACGTGCCTTTTCGAAATAGCGGTACTAGACCCTAGTTCTCTTTGGAAAAAATCCGTTTCAGGACATTTGGTGTCGATCTGTCGGTATGGCTGGTTGGTGCGCACAATAACTTTCCAAGGGTGTATCCGATTTAGTCCAAACTTGGTAAATTGTAATATTTTATCAAACTTATATCGAGTTCGCAGATGTGCAATATCGGTCCATTTATTCTTTTGTGATCGAAATTTTCAAAAAAAAAAAAAAAAGTTCGGTCGGATTTGCCAACAGATGTACAACTTCAGTCAATGTTCGATTTTTAAAAATATTTTGACTTCTGTTATGATTATTCAAATGTTTAACCCTTTATCATATAAATATTGCTTCGTGCTAGGTTTGGAATTTATCGACTACTTATTTCACTTTACATGACATTGTGATAATTTTTAAAAAATGTTAACATTTCATTCCATGCTTCACCTAATACGTAGTCAAATATTGATATGGGCAATATTACAAGAAAATCGAAATATTATATATAATTTGTGGAAAAACATATATTCCATATTCATCTCATGTTTCTGGCAAAGAGAGATATATTTAGATATAGCTACTTGTAAGGAAATGCTGACTTGTTTCGCAAGTTATGACAGATGTGACCCATTGTAAGTGAGGTATCAGAAAGGT